TGTGTGTGAGTGCGTTGTGGTGGCAACGGTGGTGATTTTCAGATAACCCCTCAAAGATTGTTTTGTTGCTGCTGCATCTGTAATACACACATTTGTTTGTTTTTGATTTGAAAGATGGATAAAAATTATCTCAAATGAAAAAAGAAAAACAAATGAGAGCACCCATGAGTATGAGAGTGAATACAGTAAGAGAATGAGTGTGTGTGCGACTGTGGTCGGGGAGGCTTATCATAAATTGAATTAACATCAATACAAACAGATGAAAGACCCGATTATCTCCCAACCGACGGTATTCGTTTTTGTTATATGCATACATACGTATGAATGCAGCTACATTGTCTGGACAACTGAAAAAAAGACATGAGGACATCTGCATTTGCATCTTCTGTCCATGCTGCATGTTGTTTTTGTTTTGTGGGAGAATTAATTGCCGATGTTGTTGTAATTGCTGCTGTTTTTTTGTTTTAGGTGCAAATACAGACGTTCTGTTTTGCTGAAAGAGACAACATTGTTAAGGCTCAACTCACGCCTACTCTTCCTCCATGATCGGCTAGCCACCATGCATGCATGAATGCATGCCAGGCATCCCACCCCATCCGTCCATACACACAGATAAAACAACTGACAAACCGACAGACAAACATCAAAGCGTGATGATCATTATCTGCCAGTTTATTCGTATAGCGCCAAGCTTTTTATTATTATTTTGATGGTATTGGTTTTGTTGGATTACCTCTTGGCTGTTGTCGGTGTTGTTGCTGGTGCTGCTGCTGCAACAGCTATTTCAGCTCTGCCATGGCTGACTGGCTGGCTACCTTCTCTCGTTATTGTCATTTGTTGTTGGGGTGATTGTTTGGCGTGTTATTTTCGATGCCATTAAACTTCTTTATCTGCTGGATAAAGCTGTAAATATCCGCGAGATTTACTACACGACGCGTGTCATTTCGTAAGCCAAGCGATTGCCAATTGGAAACAGCATAACTCTCCTACACGATTTTGTGTGTGCGTTTCTTTTTTTTTGCCTTACTTGAGGTGAAAAGCAAAGAAGAAAAAATACCGCCGCCATAGCCATACCATAAAGAAAAGACCCCAAAAAACTCGAAATAAGGAAAGAAAAAAGGAACCTCAAACGTCCGGCCACATTGAGACCCCAAAAATTGTTCAACCATACGACAGCCAGTCAGTCGTTGGGCTGCTGGACATTTGGCCTTTGTTACCATTTCGGCCGCCATATGCAATTGCATTAAATCGCGCCGTAGTTATTCGCCTCGATCCTCTTTGTTCGGTAAAATTGTAAATCCCCAAAAGCGAGTGTCGGCCGCGACTGGGTCATTGTTCTTAAATGTGAATGTGCTGCTGCATCCGCTCACATCCGTTAAGGTTAACATATTCACAGGAAAAATATGTTGTAACGGTCATCGGTAGGTCGGTCGGTTGTCCGTCGTCGTCGTTGGTTTGCGGTCATCGTTGCCCTATCTCTGTGGCAATGTTCGTTTTGTGTGTGTGCAAATATCAGTGATTTGAAATCTGCTCGCATTGTAAAATTCCCAAACGTATTGTGACGTTTTATTTCGAATGGCGGCTTTTATCACAGAATTAAATTGCTAAAAAAGAGGAAGAAGAAAAAAATAAGCCGCCAAACAATTGAAGACAATACGTGAAATAAAAAAGAAACCAAAAACAAAAGAAAGCAAATTTAAGAATAAAAAAACAAAGGCAAAGTGTTAAAGGTGATATGTTGTGAAGGTGGTGTTAAAGGTGTTTGTGAATTATTACAATCTTTAAAGAGATTTTTTGGTGTTAACGATTTCATTGTTAAAAATATTAAAAAATATAGAATATAAAAAATATTAAACATTAAAATCTACAATTACAAAAAGTAAAACCTAAGAATTTTCTAGTGAAACTTTAAGAATTATTTTTCAAATTCGTGTTTCGTATTGTTCGCCACCATGTTGGTCCCACCGGATATGATGGCCGCTCAGACGCGCATGATTTACCAAATGAATCGCTATTGTGCTGAACGTGTCCAGGCGCGTATGTTCAAAACCGCCACCGCAATTCGAGAAATTTGTAAAATTGTCCAGGACATTCTAAAGGAGGTGGAATTACAGGAACCACGTTTTATATCCAGTTTGGTGGAATGCAATGGAAGGTAAGTGTGAAAAATATGTGTTGAAAAAACAGCAGTCAAAAAAGCGCCGGAAAAAATATAAAGTAAATTGAGGACTGAATCATTTTACTTTATATTTTATGAAACTTAAATTTTTTCTAATTCTATTTTATCCCAAAGTATTGTGTTTTGAAAATAATAACCTTTGATGAACTCACAATCGAATCCCGACAACAGAAAAATGTTGGCAAATCGAAGTTTTTGGTGTTGATTAAGGGCCAAAACTTATTTATGTTTTATTGAGGTTCTAATTATGGAATTTTTCTTTTAATTTTAATTTTTTTAAGAGATAACTTGATACTCACTGAAATGATCTTCTAAAATTGCCGAATGTCATAACTAAATAATGTCATAACTAAAAATAGAATCCTGGCCAATGACAATTTGCGACAAATCGAAGTTTTGGGGGTTGATTGGGGAGTAAAGAGTAATCGAGTAATTCAGCCGATTATGGTACGATTCAATTAATTTAGTTTATGTTTTAGTAAATAATTCAGATTTGACTTCGCTCGGAAAGTAGCAAAATTACGGACCAAGACATTTTTTTATAAAATCGCCTATTTAAAAAAAAAACAACCTGGAAAATAGGAAAGATATTCTCCGATTTGATCTATGCTTGTTAATACGATAACTATGTAGGTCCAGAATAGAGTGTCAAAATATGGATGCGGTTGTATAGTTAGTTTTTGAGTTATCGTAGCGCCAGTCGTAAAAAACTGTTCGGAAAAAATCGTTTAAAGTTTGAGAATCACTCTTGCCGTCGCTTGATGCTGACACAATAAATCGGCTGTATCTTCAAGAGTTGTTGAGGATGACAATCAAAATATCTAAAATTAATGGGTTTTCCTAGGAGAATTATAAGCCGATCATCACAACCCACGTGAAGGAAATCTGGACAAGTAATTTGAAGGACTGCACTGAATATTAGTAATATTCGGAAAATGTGCTAGTGTAAGGAAGAGGCTATTGACCTCTAATCAGGCAAGAGTGTGCAAATATCACGAAATATTGTCCAGGCTCGGAATAAACATCCACAGAAAATTAGAGTTCCGGGGTAGTTGTGTAGGGTATCATACGGTTGGCCCCGTCCGACTATACTGCCCTGCTCACTGTTTTTTTTTTTCTAATTTGTACATATAGCTTCTCAAGATTGTCTCTTTAAATTTCAAGTGGAATGTTCAAAAACTCCTGAAGATATAAACGGTTTATTGTGTAAGCGACAAGTGGCAGCGGGAACGTTTCTCACGTTATTCTGGACCTACCTATTTTCCAAAAAATATCCTCCATTTTCCTAATTTACGAGGGAAGTCAGTGAGTTCGTACCACAGTCAGATACGTACTTTACTTTTCTAACTGCGTTGGATTTTTATATTCGCATGTTCCAGCGATCGACAATCATGTCCGCCGTCGAAAAAAAAATGTCTTTTCTTTAATTGAAAAAAAAAACAACACAATTTTGCCAAATTCTTTTCTTCTTCCTTAAATCTTCAAACACATGTATGCCAAGTTATGAGTATTTAAATAATGTATGCCCATTAGCCAGCCGAGAATAGGGCGACATACTTAATGGCTCCCTGATGGATATTTTGAGGTGTTATGACTTAGAGTATACGATTTTACAACCGTTAACTGTAAAGTTTTTTTTAAGTAACATTGATTTGGATTTCTACCTAAACTTGGACATATATTTATTTTTTACTTTACTCTTTTAAAATGCTATAAATATAAGTTTGTGTGGTCTTAAAATATTGGCACTATACCCAACATTGATTATATCGATCATCACATCTGGTCTTTCCACTAAAGTTTAGTATGTAGAATCTTCCCCCGATAAGTAGTGATCGCAATTGTCTTATGTAAATAGACTACTTTTGTACCCAGATTGACTTAAAAAAGTCTATGCTTAGGCCGATTTTTTTTTTTGTACCGATTCGACTTTTCAGCATAGTTTATATGAATCTCCCCGCCTTAGAAGTATTATTAAGATTCTGTTAAGAGCACTTAAAATGTTTCCATGTCAAAATTAGAAAATGTTAGTTGTGTCAAAATCAGGATATTATTCAAAAACTAGCATTTTCTATTCAGATGTGGACTGTATTTTTCTTAAGATAAATATAAGACCTTTCCGTTAGTCAGGGGATTGACCCGGTAGGTAAAGTTATTTCGCTCATTTGCTGCTAGACTGGCATAAATCAAAAAATCGATTATGCAGAAAATGCGTTTTAAGTTTTCCATTTACTTATACCTATAAGGGACGGATGAACTTCGAAAGGTTCTCAAACACAGTGAGTAAAGGATATCCATCTAAGTTTTTGCACAACATGAAGACTGATATAGCGAACAATTCAGCATCATTAAATCAAAAATCACGTAATTAGTTTTCTGTCGGTTTTGCAGAAAATTGCCGATTTATGGAGGTTGTTATATCTTCAGTTTATAGGAAATAATTAGGGGCATGGGGAAGCAGGATTTAAGTATTACTTTACTCGATTAACTTCGTTCGAACTGAACTTCCTTGAATATTTCTGGAGAATATAATGGATGAGCAATTCCCCTAAGAGCATACATAGCTATGGTCTGCACCAGAATACATCCAATCGAAGAAGATAGACTTTATATTAAACATGGTAAATTCCCGTCTATTTTCATTTGCTTTTATAATGCTAACTAAACCTTCTAATGAAATTGTAGACAAAAAAAAATAAAAAATATCGATTTTTATCAAAAGTGATATACGCGTGACTAGTGGGCTTTTATTAGGCCCAAAATTAATGTTTGCCCTTATGCCCGCTGATTGTTATCGCCAATCATAACGTTTAAAAAAAATGTTTTAATTTTCTATTGGTCATGGGGAACTTTTTTCCTCAAGTGTAATTTTATCCATCTGTCAATAAGTCCCAAAAGAAATCTCAATATTTTGGTGGAAAATCCACATTCCATACCGCAGAGATAACAATCAAATATTTCTTCTTAATTTATACAATTACATTCCATAGGCAATAATAAATTTGTATTTATTTTTTCGAAATTTAGATATTAACAACAACATAAAGTATATAAAAGCTTAGTTTTTAATAGCGTCAATAATACTGAAATATGTTGATTAGATTGAAATTTTGATTTTGATTGAAAAGCCATAACGACGAACGTTTATGTTGTGCATAACAAAACAGGTGATGGACTGACTTGGGATTTGAGGAGTCGCCAGAGATTCGAATAAAATATTCACATTTTTTCATTTTTATTTACTTCGTTTTTCAAATATCGTTGCTGATGTTGTTGTTTTTTTTTTTTTTGTTTAGTGTATAATGTTTGTTTATTAATTTATGTGACTTTCAATGTTATTAGCCATATTTGTACAGACATTTGAATTATATGCGATTTTAAACAAAATGGCTTGTTCATTTTGGAATGATGGTAAATTTCTGATTTTTATGTGAACTCATGTGTGGAATGTTAAAGAAAAAACAAGGTGACCAGTTAATGTTTTTTTTCTCATGAGGATGGATATTTTCTAGGCATATATTACATTGGTTGATGTTTGGTATTGAAAATTGTATACTCAAAACCCACATTCAGGATTTTGGGCACGGGTTTCAACTGGCTGTAATAGGTATTATGGATTATCATTGGTGCCAAATTTTCTTAAAAATTCTCAATACACCTCCCAAATTTCTGTATATTGGGGAGTTTGGGCAAAATTTTCAATCTAAATGGCTATATTTTGGATTATTATTTATCAATAATGACCAATGTTCCGGGATAGACCAAAAGGTACCTCCCAAATTTCGAAATTTTAGTCACATTTTTCAACCGAATCGGGTCTAATTTCATATTTAGGGTTATCATTCAGTGGCAAGTCCTACAAAAACTTATAAGTATCGAACATATCGAAGTCCAGCCCCCTCTTATTGTTTTGATGATTCCAGGCGTACTTTCCACCCAAAGTGACTATATTTTATCATTTTGCACTTCGGACATTTTTTCACAATTTTCACAGACCATTTTCCACATAAGTGTATATTTTTCTACATACCCCCCTGCAAAGGTCGTGCGTCATTTTTTATATACATAAGATTCTAGCTCTATTTTCCAACATGCGTGTCGGAATTTACCATGGCATAACTCCCATATAAATTCCGCATCGAGTCTAGGTATTTGTTGGGACACCACCATATATTGGGATATATCAGAATTTTGGAGAGTATTGGCATCTTTTCCATCCAAAATGGAAAATGGATTCTCATTGGGTTGCAAATATTCCTACCAAAAAGTATCACAATTGGTCCAGGGGTAGTCCCGGTATAACGAAATTTGGGTACGTTTTTGAGCCGAATTGGCTTTCAAATCTCCCTACAAATTTTTGGTATTTCGGTATATTCAAGATCCTAGCCCTATTTTCCAACATGGATGTCCGTAGCCCGGCTATTAAAGTTCCGATCTCTTTTAGGACTTCTAATTTCCAACAACCTTATACGCTAAATTACAGCTACATTGTTTCCTTTGAAAAACGAAACTACAATCTTCAAAATATTTAAAAGGTATATGAGGACTATGCCGAACTTGGCTCCAAAATGATCCTTCTAGATGGATATTAGCCATTTGGGAATCGAAAATGCCACCTAGGTGTGGAAGTGCGACCAGAACCTTAAAAATATGTAAATTACAGTAGATTTTTATATAGGGGTTATGTCGGAACTTATGTTGAGAATTTTCTTTGAGGGTGTTGTGAGGTTGACCTATATAAAATATGATCTAAGAGGAGGGATTTTATCCTTTAGGAAGCCGAAATGCCTAAATACGCCCATTTGTCAAATGCACCAGTAATCTTTAAAAAAACTATATAGGGAGGGATTCAGGACATATTGATAATATCTCTGAGACTTCGCAAATTGATGTCAATTCGATTGGTATAAGCGGCTACGATCTTCAAAATACATTAAAGGGACAATGCCAAAAACCTGTAGTGAACATTCCAGATG